CATCTATCTATCCTTCTATCTATTTATCCATCCATCCATCCATTCTTTCCATCTATCTATCCATCTATCCATCCATCCATCCATTCTTTCCATCTATCCATTCTGTCTATCCTTCTATCTATTCATCCATCCATCCATCTATCCTTCAATCCAACCATCTATCAGTCTATTGATTCCTTCCATCTAATCATGCATCCATCCACCCACCCACCCATCCCACTATCCATCCATATACTCATGTGTTTATGAACCCACTTCTCTACTCACCTTCTCACCTGTCCCATATGGATCCATCCATTCATCCATCCATCTGTCCATTTATCCATCTGCCCACTGCACTTACCCACTGTGTTGGCTGTTAGTCTAACATGCTCCTTTGCTTCATCCTGGGGAAGAAGTTTCTTTGTCCTGGGAGCTGAGCACACTTTGCTAGAGCTGGAGACCTCCATGTCATACACATACTTGGCTTGCTGCTGACACTCCGAGGTTGCTGTCTTCCACCGTGCTGCTGTTTCAGACAGGGTTGGGCTGCTTGTTCACTTTCCTCCCTCGGTTAACCTATAGAAGGCTTCCCTCTACAATATCCTCAAAATGGGCAAAGCTGCAGGCTCTTCCAGAAACACTGTTGTATTTCTAAAGTGTTATTACAAATGAATACTCAACCAGCCTAACTCCTTGACCCAAACATTGGAAATTGGATCAGTTAGGCTATGGTTTTAATTTTTTAAAAACTGTTAGAATTTTTGTGATATGCCGAAAAAATTATGTAATGTGAAACAAATGTTCACAAAGCATTTTATAAGCAAAGAAATTTTCATAGACACAGCCCAGTTTAAATTGAGATAATCAATTAGGAAAGAATTAAAACTGTCGATGAAGGGGTAGTTTTATAAAGAGGCCGTAGGGCTTAGCTATTTATGTGTTTATTAAGTGCAAAGCAGTGAAAGTTGTTTAATTATTTGGCATAGCCTCTGTTGTTTGGACACCATTGATGAGACAATCCTGCTTTTCAATTTTTTTTGCTTTTTATTAAGAAAATTTTAAACGAATAAAACTCCAAACACGGAAATGTGAACAGAATCATATAATGAACCCCTGCGTATTCATTGCCCATTTTCAACAATTGTCAACCCCCTCCCTATATTATTTTTCTTTTCATAAGTTCAAAGGCATATTCCTTACTTGTTGCTTAATTTCATTGGGTCAGAATTTCATTCTAGAAAATTATACTGACTTTGAAAGATAATGAACTTTTGAATAATATTACTTACCTTTTCATCGAAATCTTGCGTTTTGGGGGAATTTCCCCCCTATTTATCTTAATTTAGAGCATCGGGAATTTTCCACCATTGTAGTTTAATTTAAAAACAATTCAAATCTACAGCAATGTTGAAAGACTAGTTAACGAACCCTCAGATACCCTTCTCTTAGATGCACTAATTATTAACATCAGACCGGCATTTTCCTTTCTGTGTTTCTCTGTGGGATTATGTGAGAATAAGGGACGCTTTTTTACTTTTGAAGACGTGTGGACGGTGGCTCATGGATTCAGAGCCTGACCCGTTCGGGCTTTAATGCTACCTGCATGGCCCTACACTGTGCACTGTAGGGACCTCGTGCTCAATCTCTTCATCCATCAAATGGGAGTGTGGTAGTGCACACTCGTGGGTTGTGCCAGGTTGCTCTCCAGCCTGAGAGTCTGCTAGGCTCTCAGCAGATTTTCCCTGCAGCCTTGCCTCCCAGTGGCTCCCCTGTGTTTTAGCCGGCAGAGCTGCATGGGGAGACCCCGACTTGATCCTCTTATCTTTGGATATGTGCAGCTCCTTGAGCCCTAGTTGTCTCACTCTAAAATGAGGGTAGAAACACTTACCCACACTGGGTTGTTGTCTGGAAAAAATGAGATACAGGGAGTCTATGCCCAGCGTTTCGCTTAGTGTCTGCCTCCTGAGTGCCCAATGTATGTTGCTAATCATTAGTATTATTATAAGTAAGGATAAATTAGCATGATACCTTCTACTTAATTGCTTAAGAAATATTACTTATGATTATTATAGGTAATGATGAAAAACCCATACTAAATTCCAAATCAGCCATTAAAAGTTTGAGTCTGCTTTGGTGCAGTGAAAGGAATAAGGTGAAAGCTTGCGGTTTCAGACAAGAGCCAGACAGGGTGGGTGGACGTGGAGATGCTGCCAACTGGAGATGGTGTCACCAGTCATCATGGGCAATGCCCACACCTGCCTTTAGTTCTATTCAGGGGTGTCTGGAAATAAAGGAGCCTTCTTGAACCCTCTTGGAAGTGTCAGCTTTTGACATTGAACTTCTGGCTCACCCGTGGCCAGAATGCACACCTCTGTCCCCAAAGCTTTGTTGTGCTCTTGCTGCCTGGCACTGACTTTCTTCTTCTCCCTTTTCTGACCCTCTTGTCTTGTATTGCAGGTTGAAAGGATTGTAGACAAGAGGAAGAACAAGAAAGGAAAATGGGAGTATCTTATCCGGTGGAAAGGCTACGGGAGCACAGAGGACACGTGGGAGCCGGAGCACCACCTCTTGCATTGTGAGGAGTTTATCGATGAGTTCAACGGGCTGCACGTATCCAAAGATAAGAGGATCAAGTCGGGGAAGCAGCCCAGTGCCTCCAAGCTCCTGCGTGATGGCCGTGGCCCACCAGTTGAGAAACTGTCCCACAGACCTTCGGAATCTGGAAAGAGCAAGGCCACCTCCCATAAACGGAAGCGAATCAACCCTCCCCTCTCCAAGCTGAAAAAAGGGTATTCAGGCAAGCCCCCCGCGGGAGGTGACCGGGCCGCCAAGACGGTGTCCTACCGGACTACCCCCAGCGGTTTGCAAATCATCCCCCTCAAAAAGGCCCAGAACGGGGTGGAAAACGGGGATGCCAGCTCTGAGAAGGACGAGAGGCACTTTGGAAACGGGTCCCACCAGCCTGGTTTGGATTTGAATGACCATGTCGGAGAGCAGGATGTGGCCGAATGTGATGTGAACCATGCTGCGCTGGCAGAGAACGGGCTCGGTTTGTGGCTGTTTTTTTTTTTCTCTTGGGTTTGACTCTGGCTGTGATATCCAGGGGGCTCTGCCTGTAGCCTAGGGAAATACCTAAGATCCCCACCTCTGTCTCCAACTCAAAGCTAGTTGGTGATTCTCTCTTCCCCTCTCTCACCTGGGGCCATGCGAACTTGGCCCTGTGCCGCACACCAGTGCACATGCCAAGGTCACGCCACTGATGCCCCAACTAAATGTGCTTCAAGGCACCCGCAGCCGTGGTAACCACCCGAGAGCCACTTCTCTGAGTGGAGCCCAAAGTACTCACACCCAAGACCCGAGGCCTGTGTCTGCAGAGGGCTGCCACTGCCTCGCAGGGCACCAGCCAGAGCCCTTGCTTGGTGTCCCCTCATGCCACAGCAGTGTAGACCAGAGAGGCGGGGTCTGGGCTGGGGTCTGCTCCTCTTCCTTAGGCCCAGTTTGGACTGGGAATGCACCAAGCCAGTCCCATTAGCTGGTGCCTCTGGCCCTTCTGTTGCTGCTAGAATGGACTAGGGGCTTGTTTCTGTCTCAGGTCCCTCTCTTGGTCTCTCCCAGCTGCTGTAACAAAACCCCTGAGACCGAGTAATTTATCCATAGTAGAAAATGATTGCTCCCAGTCCTGGAGGTTGGAAGTCCAAGTTCAGGGTGCCAGCGGAGTTGGTGTCTGAGGAGGACCTGTTCCCCGCAGATGGTGCCTTCTGTGTCCTCACGTGCAGAAGGGGCAGGGTGCTCCTTTCAACTTCCTTTATGAGAAACTAATCCCATCAGTGAAGGCAGAGCCCTCGTGACTTACCGCCTCCTAAAAGCTCCACCTCTCGCACTGGGGGTTCGGTTTCAACATATCAGTTTTGGGGGACATGAGTATTCAGACCATAGCAGGTCCCAAATGCTGCCCTGACCCGTGCTAATTCTTTCAGTGTGCACCTCCTTGCCCCATTCTGGAAGCAGGGCAGCTTGTGGGTGTCGTGTTAGATGATGGGGTTCGTCCTCCTTTACCAAGTCTCTGCAGGCAAAATGAAGAAAAGAGGAAGCAGTGACCCAGGTGACTCAAGCTGCCAAACCTGACAATTGCTCCTTAACTGAGTCCTTTGTGGCCTGAGTCTTGCAGGTTGGCAGTCGGTGCCAATTACGTAGCCCCCCCCCTTTCTCAGACACCGTGTGTCTACCTGGTGGCGTTTTTCTCTTCAGCTGCCAGAGCCCCAAGCCTGGCAGTGTCAGGAAATCCTGCATGAGCCTGGACAACCCGTTCTGTCAGAGCAGGGCCGCCAGGTGCCACGATGGAGCCACAGCTCGTGTGGGGCGGAGATGCTGGGATGCAGGCGGGCTGGCTAAGAGGGCCCACGGGAAGATGGGGTGACGGGGTGAGCTCACATCAGAGTGACAATGATGGTTTTGGGGCTCGGAGTGTTTGGAGCAGGTACTGTCTTTAGGGACTCTCGCTGGGGAATCCCCGCCATCCGCTTCGAGGTTCCTCTTTCTCCTGAGAGAGGAATTGCACCCAAACAGCAGCAGTCTTTGCCCCAGACTGACTCATGTTTCCGTCTGGGGATCCCTGATGCTGACGTGACTGTGCCTGCTAACAGATGTAAAAGCTGTTTGTTTTAGAAATTTGTCTCTCGGGGAGGAGCAGGCTTGTGTAAATGAGCCTTGGCATAAACACTCGTGTTTTGATGTTCCTGTGACAGCTGCCGGCAGCAGCAGAGTTCCCGGTCTCAGGGAGAGTGGCAGAAGGAGCTTTTGAGGCTCCTCAGTGCAGGTGCGAGGCCCAGGCTTGACTCCCTGCACGCTGGCTACGGCAGCCCCTGCCCTGCTCCCGAGGTGGCTTCCCCGAGAATGTGGGGAGAAGCATAAGAAGGGCAGTCTGCTGACTGTGGCTGCCAGACTCTTGGAGAGGTTAGAGCAGCAGTTCTCAACCTATGGGTTGTGCCCCCTTTTTTCCATTTGTAACAACGTGGCAATTAGGAAGGTTGAGAACCACTGGGTTAGAGGAAGGTGCGCCTCTTTTTACAGTGGGCATAGCTGCCAGTGATTTTTCTCTTGCTGGTCCCCCTGCACCCCCTGTTCATTATCTGGTAACAGGGCGTGGAACCCACCACCATGGGAAATAGGTGAGGACCAGCCCAATGAAGTCCATGGTATTTCCATTAACTACAAAATACTGTTCCAGACTTTCTCACCTCCGATCTCTAGTCTTCCTCATTTTTGTCCGTGGCACATTCTCTGCTCCACTTGGGCCCATGCCTGGAGGGAGAGGAGGCAGCTGCCTGCCTCTGTCTCCTTCTCTTTTGGCTATTCCAAGAAGGCCCTTTTGCTTAATCACCCCCCATGCTGTCAGAGCCCTGAGTTCCTCCTATAAGGGTTAAGGCAGTGGTTTTCAGACTTTATAGGGATAAGATTACCTGGACACCTGAGACAAAAGCAGATCCCTGAGGTCTTAAGTCCGGGGAGGGGTTGCAGGGAAGATGGGCTTTTATAAAGCGCCCAGGTGACTTGACTGCATTTTGAAGCATGCTTTGTGGTAAAATGGGGGTGGTGATGAAGTTTCACTTCAGGTATCAATTTAATTTATATCAATACTGATTTTTTTGAGCAGTTTTTAAGAGTTAGTGACCCTATCAGGTGCCTGGAGCAGGGTATTAAGAGACCTCTCCCTCAGGACTCCCCTTCTGCTCTCCAGTAAGTCAGAGTGGCTGCCTCTGGCTCCATGTTAAGAAAGTGCCTGAAACTGGCTCCTTGGTGGAAGTAACATATGTTACACACACACAGGGGGAGTACTGTGTGTTAACACACATGGGATGAATAATGTGTGTGTTACACACACGGGAAGGAATAATGTGTGTTACATACATGGGAGGAGTAACATGCGTGTTACATACATACGACTTTGCCATATCCAGAATGACATCTTCTGTGGTCACTGGTGTGATAAAGACCCTAGCCATGGTCAGCCTTCAACAGTCTAGTAAGAGCTAGTTTATGATCCAGGTCTGGGGAACCTGGGAGAGGAAATGACTGGGAATCCTCACCAGGAGTGGGAAGGCTAATGTTGAAGAGAATGGTTTGAGGTTCTTGGAGAAAGCCCAATACAGAGTTCCAGAACTTCCTAGCAAGTTGTCAATGGTACAGTCAATTAAAACATGGCTCTACTTATGTTTTCAGCCAGAGGGGAGCTTTGCAGAAGCCAGTGTTCAGTTCACACCTACATGGAGCCCTCTCTGTCCTCCTCCTACCTTCTTTCCTAATCCTGCCCTCCCTCACCTGGAACGAAGGATCTGGTTCCTAGTGGCCCACGGGTGAGCTGGGGGAGGGGTGCAGCACAGAGGGGGGCTCATCTTTGTCTGGCAGAAGGGGATAGGGAGATCCTGGCTGCAGTCACACAGCATTTGTTTTGGGGGTGGGTTGTTGCTTTTTATATGGTTTCCAACTTGTCTTTGAGTTAAGGTTCTGCATACAGAACAGCAACTTATGTAACACGTTACTCATTTACTGCTGACTTCCCTGATCTGCCGTGGGAACAAATGCTAAATTGGGGCTCTGGGCGGGTGGTGTTTTGGTTGCAGACTGCGTTTTTCCACAGCAATGTTTGTGAGGCGTGTAGAGCGGCTCAGTCACACTCCTGCTTCTGATTCTCCTGTGGTAATGACTAACGGCTTTGGGTCTGAGGACCATCTGCCTCAGCGTCCCTTGGGGAGCTTGTTAAAATGGGCCCCACCCCAGTCAAATGAATAGGGATCTCAGGGGGCAGGGTGTGGGTTATGCATGTTAAATGCTGCATTTTAGCAGCCATGGGTGTAGACATTTGCTCCTGCAGATGGGTTTGGTTGTCAGAGGTGGTTCTTAGATGCATCTGTTAGTAGATTTAGTGTTACTTGGAATTTAAGCTGGTGAACAGGATTGCGATTTGGCCCCTCAAAGTATTCAGACCCTGACATAGTTTCTTCTTTTCACTGATATACTTTCTACCTGGTGTCTTTTTGTTTTCTAAGATACTGATTTCACTGTATGGAAAAGCTGTTGGGTTGTCCGACTCCTCCTGTGGTTCTGCCAGGAGAACTGCTTAGTGCAGTTCTAAATAGGCCAAAGCATCTTTGCAGATTCACCTGAATCTTTAACCTGCTGGAGATCCCTGCCTAGGAGCTGTCAACTCTCCTTGAGCCCAGGAACAACATGCAGACTCTGGGCGTCCTCCAGATGCCCATGAATATGATACCGGCATTTTGCTCTTTAGTAGGTTCTTGGTCTCGGTGATTCAAAGAATGAATCCGTGGACCACAGATCATTATTTACAGAAAAGAATACAGAAGTGCCAGAGGTCCTGGCAGAGAGAGAAAACTCTAGTGAGGAGAGAAAAGTGCTTTCTCTCCCTCTGTCTGTCTATCCGTAGGCTCTTTGTCTAGGGGTCTGTATAGTCGCATGGGGCCCTCAGTAGTTACATTTAGCGGGTAGTTACATTTAGCCTGTCTGGGACATCTGTCTGGGACATGTCTGGAACAACAGGTCTGGGACATTATGTTTGGGGCATGTCTGGCCCTCGGTAGTTACATTTAGCAGGGCTAGGTAGTTACATTTAGCTTGTCTGGGACATCTGTCTGGGACATGTCTTGCCCTTGTAGTTACATTTAGCGGGGCTAGGTAGTTACATTTAGCGTGTCTGGGACATGTCTGGCCCTCAGTAGTTCCATTTAGTGGGGCTAGGTAGTTACATTTAGCGTGTCCTGGACATCTGTCTGGGACATGTCTGGAATAACATGTCTGGGTTGCAAATGAATGGCTACAATCCCTTTTATTCCCAGGCCTAGGAAATGGGGACCCCCTGCCCACACTCCAGCCTGCTGGTTCTGCTACTTGCTGCCACTGCACCAACATTGCCAAGGCAGAGGCAGCCGGTCCATGCCCCCCAGCTCCACAAGCTGGCTGGGATGCCACTTGTCCTGTATCAAAACCATGAGCATCCACTCTGGTGCTGACCCTGTGGCCCCCCCCCCCACA